TACCCAGGATTGCATAGTTGTGGCTTGTGAATAGCTTCATTTTTCACCTGGAAGTAGATGCGTTGGTTCCACGGTGCTTGTTTTGGGGTGGCCCAAGACAGGGGGTGGCCCAACTCGGGGTGGGTCGACTTATCAGGATTGCGGGTCCCCCTACAGACCGTCTGCCAAAATGGTCACATTCGATAACGACCTTTCCCACTGATTTACTGCTTGTCTGGGACTGGGACGAATCTCGAAGAAAATCGCAAGCCGGAGAAAGCTATGAGTACTTCGTGAGCAGTCGAGGGGTTCCTCAGTGTCCTAGGACGGGGTGCCGGTGCCAAGATCATCTGGACAAAGCTGCCAGATTATGGAATTTCGGAATGCTACTGGACGGAATGGAGATGAGCGAGATCCGACCCAGCGACGGAGTCGAGTTCGGGCACGGCCGGCTGACGTACTGGCTGCTGGATACGGTGCGCACTAGCCCGCTATGAGATGGCCGGCTCGCCCGGGAGGGACGAGCTGGACGGCAAGTTCGATAGCGTTGAGATTAATGGACAGCGGATCCTCTATGCGAATGACGAGGCAAACGAGTGACATTTTTTTTTTACACTTCATCATATGTTAAAGCGGACATGGATGGGTGTCTCTTCAATTCCTCTTGTCGATAGAGACGGTTTTTACCGGCACGGCAAACCTGGGACTGGTGCTTGGGGCCGAAGAAGAAGCGGTAGTGGTCGCCAACGAGGTAGGGGGTCTGGTCCGGGACGCTGTTCTGGGTCTTGGCGCAAACGCGGTCGTAGATGGCGGCCGAGCTGAGGCTCCGTGGGCTAGTGCGCACCGTATCCAGCAACCAGAAGGTCAGCCGGCCGTGCCGGGACACCGTCCCATCCCTCTGGATATCGCTCATCTCCTTGGCTTTTGGTAGTCTAGGCATGCAGCCAGCACCACAAGGCCATTAGGCACCTCCATCCACTGCGCCGTGTTGCCCCAGTGCTCGATGCTCGCCTTGCTCGGAGGAAGGTCCTCGCCGGGGTTGGACTGGTACACCTGGTCGTCGCCGCGCACCCCTTCTAGGATGTCGTCGTCGTCATCTTCGCCGCGGATGGCACCGCCTGAGTGGCAACAGTCAAGCACCACCGTGAGTACGACGCCGACCTCGACAATATCCTGCAGCAGGGCGCCGAGCTCGACGTCGCGGAGGTACTTCCGGACGAGGGCGATATCTGGCGGCAGCAGGGAGTGGTCGATATCGTCGCTATTTTTCTTGAGCTTGGCGAACACCGTCGACGCCTGGCCGCCGTGACCGGAGTAGTGGATGTACACCAGGTCGTTCTCCTTGGCGTATTCGGGACGTCGGCCAGAACGCGGACTATGTTCTCGTACGTGGGCTATTCGTATTGGCCCTTGAGCGGCAGCTCGAACCGGTGCGTCATGTTCTCGACCGGCGCCAGGAGCATTTTTATGTTGTCGACGTCCAGCTTCATGGTCTTGATCAGATAATCCCAGACGGCCAGCACGTCATTAACGCAACCCCCCAAGTCCTTGGGAGCTTTCATCTTGACCCCTTTCGTACATCTTTTTCTTTTTTTTACCGAGTTCTTGTAGGAATACTTTTCGATGCCAATTAATATTGCCCCCTTGTTAAGGGGCTTAGAAGTATCCTCAGCAGCAGCGCGATGAGGGTGGTCTTGAGGTGTGGCGTCCACTACCTTGGTCGCAACGTCGACGGCACGGTCGAAATCCTCGTCCAGGTCCTCGGCGGACCTCTCGACGCTCTCCATCGCCTCCTTGAGGTCGCCCTTAAGGAGTAGGTTGGTTGCCTGGGGCTCGTCCCTCCCTTTGCGCAAGCTCTCCAGCTCTTCTGTCTGTCTTCTGTTTTCGGCATTGGCGTTTTCGAGCGCGTTCTGCGTTTGTACCAAGATCTCGGATCATTTCGAACTTGATAGAGGCCAACCCGCAGTCTAACGCGGCCCCACCAGCCTCGCAGACTGCTTTGGATCAGCTAGAGCGCAAGAAGCTGGACGCGGATATGATGGGCATCGACGGCGACAAGTGCACCATCTGCATCGATGAGCTTCAAAAGGGTGACGAAGTGACGGTTCTGCCGTGCAAACACTGGTTCCACGACGAGTGCATTATCCTATGGCTCAGGAGCACAGCATGTGCCCCATCTGCCATCGGGAAGAGGCAGCAAGTGGCGTCAACACCGACAGTAACAGACGGCAGATCGAGTAACTCGACCTGCAGCACGATGGCCACGCCGTCCGGAATTCTCCATATCGCGCGTCCCTCCGCGTGCGCCGTAGCGTGCGTCGCTCCAGGGGTTGGCCGCTGTCATAAGCCGCCTTGACCGAGGTGTGTCTCCTAGCGGGGTGCCAGGGCGGCGGGGTGCTGGTACCGCCTGCCGGAACACGGGTCGTTGGGCCTCCAAAATCGGCCAGGTCTGACCTCGAGGTGAGCAAAGCATCGACCGATAAATGCCACCAAGCATCGGTTAGTCAGCACGTCAGCCCAGGCTGACGTGCTGACTAATTACACAACCAATTGGAATGAGATTGAATTGTCATTCTGCGCCAGCCTCAACGCCTTCGAGAAAAAAGTAACCAAAACTGTTGCAATCTTTTTCCTTTCTTCATCCTGCCGCTGCTGTCCGTGCGGCCGCCACTCTGAGCTTCACGCGCGCTGAAGCAGCTCCACTTGGTGCTGCAGGGTTGATTTCACCAGTTCTGTTTCAGCGACATCTTCCCAAGCCCTTCTGGGGTACGCCTTGCCTTCCCACAAAGCTGTCAGAAATTCGTCCGCCACCTCTGCCAATTGTAAACCAATGCCCCTCGCTAACTGCTCCTTCAATTGTTCCATCTCGTCTTGCCCAACCCTTTGGTAATCCCGAAGTGCTATACCGTCGTCCAGTTGTCCATCGAAGGGAAGCATGGCCATAAATGCTCCCAAATTTTCCAATTTTCCTGCTTCTTGAAAGGCGATTTTTGAACGCACCATATGTCAAGGTAGCGACTTCTGCATGCGCTCTTTTGAGCACATCTTCAGGGTTGCGCTTTCTGTTCGCCTTCTCCTTCTCAAGGTTGATAAGCTTATTAGCTAAAGCCCATGCTATCCATGACCTTAGGCCACAGTAGCCAGCTAACTGCTTAGCCTGAATCGCAATCTTGCAATATGCAACTGCTGCGCGGACTCTATCTTCTTCCTTGACCTCTAACTCTGGAAGCCGCCCATTTCCCCTCGAAGCTCTGATGTGATCCCTTAACTGTGCGATGGCATTTGCGTCGCGTAAATGTTCGGCCATAATGGCTACGGGACGGGGCTTTCGCTTGGATTGTGGCTCGTCGGATGGTGGTTCATTTGGGGCAGCAGCGCGTTTGTTTCTCCGTAACCTTGGTGATTCGACGGTTTTGCCCTGCTGCTCGCCGCACTCGTGCTGCTTTCCGCTTGCGTCTTTTGCCACCCTCGGTGCTTTTTACCGTGCACTGCGCAAGGTAGCGGCTTGCTGCGCATTGTTCCCAATGACAAATCCTGCGGGATAG